GCATAGGAAGGGAAAATGTCCTCTCTATGTGCGTCTCCTCCGTCAATTAAGGGTAGGCAACGCATCTGCAATTGCTGATGTTATGGGCAGCGGTCGCTTTCCATTTCGGTGGATTCAGGTGGTTGCTTGCTCGTTTGCCACCTTATATTATAAAAAAAAACATTCTTATACCTGTCCCTCTTACGTAACGTAAGTATGTTATCACTGAGTAACAAAGGCTATATCTTTACTATTTTTTTTATTGCACGCGGGAAAAATCGCGAGCAACAGCGACTTCGTAATATTATACTCTTAAATGCGAAAGTTTAGATGGATGTTTGTTAGAGTTTGTAGCCTAAACTGCTGAACGGATCTCGATAAAAGGCATCCTTTGAGACATAGTCTGGATATCACATATGCTTACTTAGTTGTTTCTCATCAACGGTTTACGTATTTGAATAAAAATGTATTATCTTCTTACAGATTAACGCGCCCGGTTTCAGGAATATGATGAAATGGCTTAAACATAATTACGGCGATATTGAAATTCTTGTCACGGAAAATGGACTTTCCATCGCAAGCGACGGTCTCAATGACGTCGACAGAGTCAAATATTACAGAGATCATTTGGAACAGGTATTTATAATTATGGAATAGCTGTTCCCGTGCGGCTTCATCCGCATGAAATTAGAAAAACTTTATTTTATTGTTTACATTTGTCAAATAATCAATAGCAAATGTCAAAATGATATGACATGACGAACCTTGCTTTCTTGATGTTGGCAGCAACTTATGGTCTCTTTCCCACATTAGGGTTTTTATTCAAAATAAATTGCCCCTAAGTTTAATCGCGTGAAAATATATAGCCTAAAGCATGACGCAAGTGTAGGGCCTTTTTATTAAAAAAATAATTATTCAATAATATGCTGTAATTGGTGACATCTTAGGCAACAAAGAAGTGTGTGTTTACGCTTTATTATAATAATATAGATAGATTATAATTCTTGTAACAGTCAAAGAATTAAATTCCTTTCACATTTAGCATTGAATATCGTGCAGCAAACTGTCATTATAAGAACTTTAAGTATGTATGTACAATCGGGGAAACTGTCAATGTTCTAGTTTGAACATTTTGAGATGATAAAAACCAATTCTACGCAACATTTAAATATCTGTGTATAAAAACTCATTTAGTTTAGGTCAATTACTTATTGACCGACTTTCAAAATGAGGTACTCAATTCATCTGTATATTTTTACGTGTTACTTACTTTTTGTGTACACTTACTTTGGTTTAAAACCTAGTTTTATTTATTCATCATTCTCATTTAGTTCTTCATTAGTTTTAAGCTGTTTGGTGAACCTAATAAAATAAATAAAAATAAAATAAAATACCAATTAACGAATTATTTCTTTTAAATCAGATGTGGCTGGCGATCAACGAGGACGGTATAAACGTGACCGGGTACACCGCGTGGTCCTTAATGGACAATTTCGAATGGACAGATGGATATGTGTAAGTATTTATTTTATCCTGTCAATCTTACTTCTTACTAATATTATAAATGCGAAAGTTTAGATGGATGTTTATTAGAGTTTGTAGACTAAACGGCTGAACGGATCTCCATGAAATTTGGCACAGATTTAGGGCATAGTCTGGAGAACACATAGGTTACTTTGTATCCCGGGAATAGTTACAGTTCCCGTGGGATTCATTAATTTAGTTTTTTAATGTTTACTCGATCATTCTGCAACGGTTCAGCATATAATATTGAAATTTGGCACAGATATAAAACAAAGTCTGGAGTACACATTGGATAAGGATTATCCCCGTGAAATGTCCGGTTCCCGAGGGATACGTAGTTTTTTGTTATTTATATAGTTCGTATGTTTTCTAAAACCACGTGGACGAAGTCTTTTTTTTATATAAAATAAGGAGGCACACGGGCAAGCGACCACCTGAATCCACCGAAAAGGAAAGCGACCGCTACACGTAAACATCCGCAATTGCAGATGCGTTGCCTACCCTTAATTGACGGAGGAGGAGACAAACATAAAGAGGACATTTCCCCTTTCTATGCGTCCCCTCTACCGTCAAATCCACTTTTCCTTCCTATCCTTTCCTCTTAAGAAAAGGGTGGAAAGGGAAAGGGAAAGGGAAAGGGACTTAAATTAGACCTCCGGAACCACACTCTGTACGCGGAATTGCTTTCACTTCACGCCTGTTTTCTGTGTTGTCGTGGTATTACTGGGGGCGAGCCGGCTTATTCGTGCGAAGATGTTAAAGCGGACTCTACCACTGTTGTCGCGGGCAACAGCTCGTCGTTTTTTAATTCTTTTACATTTCAGTACAAACTTCGGCCTGTATGAAGTGGACTTTACTGATCCGAAGCGGCCGCGGACCGCGCGCGCCTCCGCTAAATATTACAGAGATGTGATACGCAGCCATTCTTATCAAGTGTCTGATAAATATATTAAAGACGAACTGTAAAATGTTTGTTTCATTTTAAAATCAATTCTTCAATGATAACGAAGGTTAAAATTGGCTGTGAATTGTTTATGAGTAACCATAGCAACCATAGCGTTGGTAGCAATTTAGTTTTTGTCCCTTTTCCAATTTATTTTACACCCAAATTCAATTTAACATCAGATAAAAATGTCTATGCAAGCCGAGAGTTTAGCCCACTGTGCCCATAAATACCAAAATGGCACAAAAATCACGGGTTGTAATCTGTCCAATGGAAAATTGACAGTTTTAAATACGTATATAATTATCTATACTATAATAAAGCGTAAACACACACTTCATTGTTTCCTAAGATGTCAGCAATTACAGCATATTATTGAATAATTATTTTTTTAATAAAAAGCCCTGCACATACGTCACGCTTTAGGCTATATATTTTTACGCCATTAAACTTAGAGGTAAATATTTTGGATAAAACCCTAATACCATAAGTTGTTGCCAACATCAAGGAAGCAAGGTTGTCACGGTTTGTCATATTGTCATGTCAAATAGACATTTGCAATTGATAATGTGACAAATGTAAGTACTAAAATAGAATTTTCAAAATTTCATGCGGATGAAGCCGTACGGGGACAGCTAGTCTTTTTATAAAATCTTTCAAAGAGTTGAGAGTCGTCAAGAACTCGTAATTCTTTCCGTGTTAATTTTCGTACTACTTTTTTGTATTAAATGTTGGCTTAACAGTGCTTTTTTGTTAAAATAACCGTAACATTTTCTCACAGATTAATGATAAAACGTTAACAAGTTACTTCACTAATAGGACCACTTTTTATGCTACAAAATTAAATGTTGTGTAATCGAGTATCGCTTTATGATTTTTTGTAGCTCGTTTAATAATTATGATGGGAATTAATACTATTAACACGTTCACTGCGTAACAGGCCGATATCGGCCTGCCGCGGTACTTAAGATGGTGCGGACGAAGAAAACTATATCTCTCTCGCTAATGCGAAACAATTATCTCAGGTGTATACATTAAAATACATAAAATGTTTCCATAAAGTTATAGCGATTTAAACTATCCTAATGCTGGTGGGTCTAGAAAGACCTGCCACGCACTGGCGGAAATATCATTGGGGGCACATTATGGCCCACCGCCGCACCACATGAAGAATTATGATTTTACTTGCCGCACTTAACGTGTTAAAGTCTAATTTATTATTACAAAACGTATTCACGGACAAAAACAAAACGTAACTAGTTAAAATGATCACAAATAAGCCCTTTCCAGTCATAAATAAGCAAATATACGAGTTTGGTGTCTGTAGAGGCCACGGATTTATGGGTCGAAAATATGACGATTGAAAACTAAAAGCATTACTATATTCTTTTCGTAATAACTGAATCCGATTCGCTTTATTTTTCAATAACGATCCTCCCCAACTTCACACTAATATCCGGTCTAATGTTGATACCAAAATGTGTTATATATACATCACAATAGAAACCATAAGATACCAGCATTTCTCTGCTATGTTATACATATATTATATACAAACCTTCGTCTTAAATCACTTTATTAAAAACTGTATCATTATCCGTTCCGTAGTAGATCTAGGCTTACATAGGGACAGACAAACACAAATCGATTTTTATACACACTGAACCGCATCGAATTTTTCAACAACTATTCGATGTTTTTAAAGCTTACCTTACTATAAGCTGATAGAAGTCATGTAGCCTATTAAATTGACCCAGCTATATCTATATGGTTGTTTTTTTAATTCATGACTAAACTGTAGTCTTCATGGATTTGCGGAACGAGTTCACAACGTAATATAACAACAAACTTATTGGTTGGCATTCAGTGATTGAAGTGATGTCGCTGAAAGTGGTAGTTTTTAGGTGAGTATTTTTTAAAATTCGATATTTTTTTTGTGACTGAATGACCACTGTTAGCCTTGAAGAGGCATTTACTGATATCGGGCTTGAGGTGAAAGCGCAGATGGCGCTTAGCATGAACCTCGTTTAAAATTCGATAATTTCACTATTATTGTAACTGACTTTATATAATCTGTTTGCTAAATAATGTAAAATATTATAGTGTTTTTCTGATTGGGTTATAATCTTAATTGATATAATTTAAGATAAGTTAAAAATAATAAATGTTTAATTACTAAACTTGTTTAATATCTAGGTTGATTGTTACCTTTTCGTATTTCTGATTCGACAAAAAAAGCATTTGTTTGCATTAAAAATGCTGTCAATCAAAATTGTTATATAGTTTGTGCGCAAAGAGAAGCAATATTGAATTTACTGTATATTTATATCGTATCTTACTAATTTTATAAATACCGAAGTTTAGATTGATCGATGTTTGTTAGTTTGCCGCCTAAACATATTAATCGTATATTAACCACAATTTGTATTTATCTTTAAATTTGTATAACTGTAATTGTAATTGTTAATCTCTTATTTTTCAATAAAATTATGACTATTTCTATTTGTATTTCAAACTGCTAAACGGATCTCGATGAAATTTGGCATAGGTAGATGTAGAGTATATCCTGGAAACACACATAGGCTACTTATATTTCGAAATCTAATATATTTCAGACATTTCAATTCAGACTAGTTATAATTTCAACATTTTTATCATCAACTAACCCTCTTTTCTTAACTAAGTTCAGCAGAGTATGTTCTCTTCCATCTATATCAACTGAAATCTGAATTCATTCCCTTTTACTCTTCGCAACATTTTCTTAAATAATATTTTACCTTTGCTCATTTGTATACGTTCGAAGTTTTTTACATTCCAATCAGATATTAGAAAATGGATTTTCCATACAAATTTATTCTGTTTTCCTCATTTAAAACAAAAAACATATTTTATTCAACTCGATGTACTTTTATTTTTTGCCTTTGGTTTCGAAATTTTACTATACACGTGTAGACATGCATAAACTAATGCATTTTTTCGTATCATTCAAATTTTTACGATTTGTTTAGTTACATCTTCATTAAAATAAAAAAAAGGCATAAGAATTACAAAATTTAGTTTGTAAACTCATGAACTACTTGACCTTCAGTTTGCCCTTTTCCCTACGGAGGGTCAGCACAGTGCTGCTCTTCCATACATATCTGAATTCACTGCCTTAAGCATATCCTATTTCTTACAATCTATCCATACTTTCTTCGGTCTTCCTCTTCCTTGGTAGCCATATTCAACCTTAACTATATCATGAAGTATTAGACCATCAACTTGCTCTTTTCCCTACACGAGGGTGAACACAGTGCTGCACTTCCATACATCTCCAGCCATATTTGAATTCACTCCCCTAAGCATAACCTCTTTCATACAATCCATCCTTACTTATTTCGCTCTTCCTCTACCTTTGTAGCCACATTTAGTCTTAACAATATCATGAACTAAGACCGATTCCAAATTATCTTTCACCATTAAAAACAAAGAGATTAAAAAAATAAATAGAGGGGGCATAATTGACAATTGAGACATTTTTCACATCACATCACTAACGCTATCTATTTATAGATCCCAAAACCAATATCAATATAACTAATTGTATTTAAATGATGCAATTAAATAACATTTAAAATGTTTATATTTTATTTTTTACACTTTTTACTTTAGTTTATTATATAACGAAAGATAGAGCATTATTTTGTAAAATGTTTTATTACATTACAAGGACAGGAGGTGGCACTAAGCTTGACAAATGATTGGTACCTCACAGAGAAAGTACCTGTGAAAAAATATTGTTCACTGCCTCGTCTATATTTTTATTAGTTAAGACATGTAGGGTCTGTCCCGTCACTGGCTGATAGAGGCTCAGCTTAAAAGTGACGTCACTGTCAGACAGAGTACCAAAAGCCGATACTTCCATCACATTTAACATTGGATTGTTATAAATTTACAATTTGATGGGACAGGTCCTTAGTCTTTGCCACTGAATGATATAGAATTTTATTGTAACAGAGTGTTGATCTGCGCGGTAGCAGGGTACGCCTCTCGGAGGTTCCCAGCCGGCTTTAAGTTCGGAGCTGCGACTTCCTCGTATCAGATAGAGGGAGCATGGAACGTGAGTGGTGAGTGAATCTTTAAACATGAAACTCGTGTAACTCAGGTCCTAATGGGTTGCCTGGAAGAGATTTCTTTTAGCAATAAGATCGCCTTTGTGTAAATCTAGTAATTACTAATTTAGTTTTAGCTTCCTGTTGTATTATTTGTGCAAAAGTATTAAATAAATCATACTTCATACTAATATTATAAATGCGAAAGTCTAGATGTTTGTTAGAGTTTGTAGCCTAAACGGTTGAACGTATCTGGATGAAATGCATAGATGTAGGACATACTCTGGAAGAACACATAGGCTACTTGCTTTTGTTTTTCTTAATACCACGCGGACGGAATCGCTAGCGAAAGCTATTAAATAAATAAAAGGGATGGAGAGATCATGGACTTTACATGTCTTACATTGCATTTTAATATTTTAACTCTGTGATCTCTAATTGATTTATCAAAAGAGAAAAAACAAGGCAATTTCCAATCAAGCCTGCAATAGTAGTAAATTTCAGAATTACACAGTTTTAACTAAAGTTCAGTTAAAAATGAAGACGTAACCGCCGTTACATACTCGTGATACAATGATTTATTCATAAGAAACAAGAACATCGTAATTTAAGAGTAAAATAACTTACATATTCAGCATAAATAACAGTTGTAAAAGTTTTATAAGACAGTACAACTATTAGTAAACGAATCGCGGGGTTACAATAAATCTTAAAAAGTATATAACAAAGTGTAAACACACTATAGTATTTTTGAATAAATCTTTCTTTAATAAAAAGCCCTACACTTACGACACGCTTTAGGCTATATATATTTACGCTATTAAACTTGGGGGATAAATAAATTAGAAAGAAAAACTACAAGCTGCCAACATTAAGGAACCAAGGTTGTCACAGTTTGTCATCGTCATGTCATTTTGACATTTGCAGTTTGTAATTTGACACATCTAAACAATGAAATTAAAATTTTATACGGATGAAGTCGCACGGGAACAGCTAGTTTATAATATATAGAATGAAGTCAACGTAATAAAAAGGTTTTCATTGCGAATGCACTCGTAAAACTGTTATCTTTGTCGTTCTGCTAAAGAAAACTGAGATAGCAGTATGTTTTTAAAGTGACTTGGCTGTGCAAAATTCAACATACAGAGCACACGGCTTTTGTAACTGAGTTGTCATTTACCTTGAACAGGGATTAACAGATTTACCTGGTATGAGTTCACCTTTGAACTTTGTTTATGAGTAAGCTCGAAGACTCTCTCGGGAGCCTCGGCTTGGACTGTAACTTCGTTATTACCGGATTAGGAGGTCCCGAACTCTTAGATTCGGTGGACTTTACATGGAGTGACTGGGCTCAAGGGCCACTAAATACGTATTAAGTATTCTGATTCAAAGTTGCCCGAGATAGTTAAATAACCTAGCGATCAAATAATTACTGTATTTATTTTATACTAGCTGTTGCTCGCGATTTCGCCCGCGTGAAATTAAAAAAAATATAGCCTACAGATAAATTACCTTTCTAACGGTGAAAAACTTTTTAAATTCGGCTCAGTAATTTTTGAGTTATTTCAATACATACAAAAATACAAATCTATCCTCTTTATGTTAGTATAAATATAGATGAAATTATTATAATAATCGATCGAAAAGGAGAAAAAGGCTAAATACAAGAAGTAATTAGTATTTTATTCATTTCAAAATAATACGAGAAATGTAACATTGTTAATGCGATATTGATTAGCGAATTCATTTTTCAGGCAAAAGCGAAAGTATATGGGATAGATTGACGCATTCAAAACCGAGTATAATAACAGATGGCGCCACTGGAGATGTTGCTTGCAACTCTTATTACAACTGGGAAGATGATATTAATATTGCTGCAGAACTAGGTCTACATTTCTATAGGTAAGTGGAAAAACAAATTAGTAGTTACTCCATTTCTTAATTAAGAAATAAATAAAGTCTATGACATTCAGGATAAGAATAGAATGTCAATTGTCAAGGTTCGGTCGGCCTGATCTTGAACCATAGACATTTATAAAATATATAGACAAGGCAGTGCACCTTGCATTAATTTTTTTCACTGGTAGTTTGTTTGAAAGGTATTATATTAGTGGTCAAGTTTAATGCCACCTCTGTCTTGTATTTATAAGTAATGAAACATTTTACAAAATTACAAGCTTTGTTTTGTTATAAAATCATACTAATATTATAAATGCGAAAGTTTAGATGGATGGATGGATGTTTTTGTTAGAGTTTGTAGCCTAAACGGTTGAACGGATTTCGACGAAATTTGGCAAAGACGTAGAGGATAATGTGGAAGAACACATAGGCTACTCAGTTTTGTTTTTTTTAATTCCACGCGGACGGAGTCGCGGGCGAAAGCTTGTAAAAAATAAACATTTAATTATTACTTAATGACACCTATAGGCGATTATTTTAAAAACAATCTTACTAATATTATAAATGTGAAAGTTTAGATGGATGGATGTTTGTTACAGTTTGTAGCCTAAACGGCTTAACAGATTTGGATGAAATTTGGCATAGTTCTAGAGCATAGTCTGGAAGAAGACATAGGCTTTAGACTCACTTTTGTTTTTTTTTAATTCTACGCGGACGGAGACGCGGGCGAAAGCTATTTATATTGATATTTCTTTTCGAGGATCTATCAATAGATAGCGTTAGTAATTACGTGAAAAATGTCTCAAGTGTTAAATATGCCTCCTCTATATTTTCTATATCTCTTTGTATTGAACACTGAAGTCAGTTATTATTTTTTTTATAACTTCCACAGGTTTTCCTTATCATGGCCCCGCCTGTTACCAACCAGTTTTATTGACAAGATCAGTGCAGACGCAATAAATTACTACAATGAATTGATTGATGGCCTAATAAAAAAAGGTATTGAACCCGTTGTGACGTTATACCATTGGGATTTACCACAGAGAATACAGGATCTAGGTAATTTTTCGTTTTATATCATAAAGAATAAAGATTTGGATTTTTGAATGTATTGAAATAACTTAAAAATTACTGAAAAGATTCCAAAAATTCTTGCACCATTAAAAAGCTTTGTTATCTCAGAGTAACATAAGCTGTGTTTTCCCTATTTGTTTTTTGATTTCACGCGTTGAAAGTCGCGAGCAACAGCTAGTATATGTATAAAATTGGACTGTCTGTATGTAAAAAAAAAACAGTTTTAGCAAAGATGATGTATTTGCATTGCTGATAACGTAAAACGCATTTAAAAAAATTGTATGTCTGCCCGTAGCCGTGTTTGGTCCAGGTAATCTCCGAAACTGCTGGGCCGATTTTGACAGGAATATTACAGACTACTTTTTTAATTATTTTTAATTCGGCACTAACGAAGTTTTCAAGTGACAGTATTAAATAAATGTTGAATACAATAAGATTCGAAGTTAATTTGCTAAGACAAAACTTACAGGCGTTTTTTTGCAGGCGGTTGGGCAAATCCATACATCACTGACTGGTTTGCGGATTACGCTAGGGTTGCTTACAAGTTATTTGGTGATCGTGTGAAGACCTGGATAACGGTCAATGAACCCTTGGTAGCGTGTGATATAGCATATAATACCGGTTTCTTTGCCCCGGGTATAAAAGATCCGGAATTTGGCAATTATCTCTGTGGTAAAAATATGCTGCTTGCTCATGCTAAAGCCTGGAGGGTTTATGATGAAGAGTTCAGATCTAAATATCATGGTAAAGTTATCATCTATACATATAATAAAATTTGAGTGTCTGTTTGTAATATCAAAAGAAGAATTCCAAATTTCGGGAAGACGATGTATTTGCGTTGCTCATAACGATAAAAAATTTTTTGTTTGTTTGTCTGTCCGCAAGCCGCGTTTGTTTTGGAACGGCTGGACCGATTTCGACCGGACGTTTATACGGACTGGCATATTATTGGCTACTTTTTATCTTAAAATAAATAAGAAAGATTTGTATTTTTGTCTGCATTGAAATAACTCAAAAACTACTGGGTCAATTTCAGAAATTCTTTCACGATTAAAAAGCTACATTATCACTGAATAACATAGGTTATTTTTTTTATTATTTTATAATATCACCCAGGTTAAATCGCGAGCAAAAGCTACTGTTTAATAATTCTTTTACTTAAAATCTAGTTTGTGTAATTCAAGACTATGTACCTTTCATCGAGACTTTTAGAGTAACAAATATCCATCCATACATCTAAACATTCGCATTTATTATTTTAGTAAGAAGTAATTTGTACACATTGTCTTAAACGTGATTTGTTACAGGCAAAGTCGCTTTAACAAATCAAATTTTTTGGCACATGTCAGAGAATAAGGAAGATGAAGAATTAACAGAAAGAATCAGACAATACATGGTACGTCTAAATTCTATCTTCAACAACTAGCTCTGAATATTACAACGAATCTTATGTACAGTCAAGGACACTTGCATTGTTCCTACTTTAAGCTACAATCATTTGAACATTTTGAAACGTGACGCGAAATAAAAATCAATACAAGGCAGCATATTAATGTGTCTACCATGATATACGAAAAAAATAACGACACAGTTTCCGTTTATTATCCTTTTGTTTGTACTCACTGCTAATTAGTTATTTGTAGTGTTAGGAACAAAATTAGTACCGTGCTATAGAATTGGCGCAACTCTAGATTATCGGCATAAACGTCACGTCCCTAGCTGACAGCTGTCAAAGTCACTAGAAGTATGGATAGATTGGCGCGCATCGAGAGTCCTGGCGAGAAGTGTTGCTCTGAGTTTAAAGCGACAGTATCAATTAAATAAGTTGTCTAAAAGTAGGAAGAGGCGGGGGTTGTCTCGTTGCAATGAACAAAGTAATAAAATCTAAACACTGCAATTTTTCCACGACTGTACCTTCCCCCTGTATAATAACAATTGTTTCCCGAATATATATTTTTCTATTGTTTTAGACGGGAATGTACTCTCATCCGATATACAGTAAAGATGGAGGCTGGCCGCCGGAATTGGAGAAGATAATAGCAGAGAACAGCAAGAAGCAAGGATTTGTACGCTCACGACTGCCGCCATTCAGTAAGGAAGAGATCGACCTTATTAAAGGTATAGAGAAGTTTAAGTTGTTAAAAGGTCCCCACTGTTGGGACGAGTTTATCCAAATGGGGTAAAGTGGATTGACTTCAAATATATCTTTGAATTTTATGTCGAACTAAGAACGTAAGATAAATACGTAACATGTATTTTGAATTTAATATTAAGAAAATTTAAAAATTGTAATAAACATTGATACAGGGATTAAGGTTTTGTAGATATTTTTGACTTCCAAATTAATCTATCTTACGTCATTTAAGAACGGGCACACATTTTTGTGTAAACTATTGTCAATTGTTTTGCTGCCAATTCAACTGTTTAGTTGCTGTTTAGTGTACCCCCATATAAGGTCATAGGAATCAAAGCGGGACTAAACAGTTGTGCGACAGTTTAGTACCTATCGGAGATTTTCTTGATTTTTTAATATTTTTACGTTCACAGGTACTTATGATTACTATGGGATGAATTATTATACCTCTCGGATGGTTCGTAAGGCGAAAGATGGCGAGAGCTTCGGTAGTTGGCCGCTGCAAGATGGCGCTGTCGAGCTCGGCGCTGTCATGACTGTCAAACCTGATTGGAGGAAGGCAGCATCCATGTGGTTATGGGTATAAATATACAATAAATATATACTAAATTACTAAGTAGAAAAATTCAACAACTACGACTTAATGATGCTCTGAATTATTTTCTTACTAGCTTTCGCCCGCGACTCCGTCCGCGTGGAATGTAAAAAAACAAATAGCCTATGTGTTCTTCCAGACTATCCTCTACATCTATACTAAGTTTCATCGAGATCCGGTCAGTCGTTTTGGCTACAAACTCTAACAAACATCCATCTATCCGTCCATCCATCTAAACATTCATATTTAGAATATTAGTAAGATAGTAAGATTATAGTTATACTAATATTGTAAATGCGAAAGTATAGATGGATGGATGTTTGTAGCCTAAACGGCTGAACGGATCTCGATGAAATTTGATACAGATGTAGTGGATAGTCTGGAAGAACACATAGACTACTCGCTTTTGTTTTTTTAATTCCCCACGGACGGAGTCACTATCGAAAACTAGTAGATGATAATTTATTTTGAATTTACAATAATGTATACCAATGAAAATGTAAAGAAAAATTTGTTTGTTTCTGTTATTACATAGATAAATGTTTATTTTTGACTTATTTTTATTACGACTCTTCAGAGTTTAATGTTGAAAAATTATGTAATCAAATTATACAGTCAGCTACAAAATATGTAAACACTTATATTTGTTTACTTTCTGAAGCTATGTAGCAAATATTTATGAAGCTGACTGTACATAAAAAGTAAACATTACTCGATTTTTGATCGAAGTTTACTTTCCAGTCGTACGCTCCCGGACTACGTCACAAGTTGGTTTGGTTGAAAAAGACATACGGCGATGTCGAGATCTTGATACTTGAGAACGGAGTGTCTTCATTTAGTGGACAATTAGACGATGATTTCAGAGTTAAATATTACAAGGATCATTTAGAACAGGTCAGAGTACACTTTTAATCATTATGACAATACAAAGACATTTATATAATACATAGACGAGGCAATGAATAAAATTATTTCATAGGTACTTTCACTAAAAAGTACTAAATTGGTTGTCAAGTTTAGTGCCACGTCCTGTCTGTATTGAAACGTAATTTCACAAATTGTAAATTGTTGTAAAATAAACTATAAAATGTTTAAAAATAAAATATATGAACATTAAAATATTATTTAATATTTTTTGAATTTTTTTGTCTATAAGACATACATATGTGTTGAGGTTAGAAATGAATTAAAAAGTTGAAAAGGGCTATATTTTCATTTAGATAGTTCATTACGGTGATTGCGAAAGGGACAGCGATAGAGAATGATTCCTCGTCTCACTCACACTAAGGCAAAGCTTTGATATTTTATCTGTGGTCAGAGATTAGTTAGTGCAGAAACGTTTTGTACCTATTTTCAGTTATGGCTGGCTATAACTGAGGACAAAGTGAACGTAACTGCGTACGCGGCTTGGACAATGATTGACAACTTCGAATGGTGCGATGGATACAAGTTAGTATGATTATTGATTTTATTTGTACTTTGAATATCTTTTTTATATAATAAGGTGGCAAACGAGCAAGCTGCCACCAGAATCTGCCGTAATGGCGAAGCGACCGCTGCCCATAGACATAGTGGATGCGTTGCGTTAATCGACGGAGGAGACGCACATAAATAGGATTTTTCCACCTCCCATGCGTCTCCTCCACCCTCAAATCCACATTTCCTTCCCATCCTCTCCTCTCAAGGAAAGGGGTAAAAAGGGAAAGGGACTATAATTAGTCCGGCTCCGAATTGCTCCCACTTGACGCCTGTATTGTGTGGTCGTGGTATTACACCGGGCGAGTCCTACAGTGAGAAAATGTTAAAGCGTGCTCTATCTTTTACTTGAGGCAATATAACTAATATTTTTTTCTTTATTTCAGTGTCAAATTCGGCCTGTACGATGTCGACATGAACGACCCAAAACGTACTCGAACACCTCGAGCGTCCGCGAAATACTACTCTAAAGTGATTAGAAGTCATTCTTTGGATGTTGACAAATACAACCCGAAGGCTGAACTGTATTCTACTGTTTTGTTTTATCTACCGTTGCCTATAATCCTTACAGCGATCGCCGCCATGATGTTTTCATGTCCAAGATGGCGGCCATCGAAATCGTTTACGGCACGCCATCGAATATTAATACCGGATATGTTTTAGAATATTCTTTTTTTTTCATACTCAGAGATAGAATTAGGATTTAAAATTTATTTCGTTAAATGTAATGTAAGAGTCAAATAATTTTAAGCTATTTCGTTACAAGAAAAATACTAGATTTGTCAAAGATTGCTAATATTTTAAGAGAATTCCTAGAGTTTAATCTAGTCTTATACTTATTGGTACTTTTAGGGTCTATTCCACCACTGGCTGATACGCTCAGATAGCTTAAAAATGACGTCACTGTCAGATAAGATAACAAAATCCGATATATCCACATATTTTACACCTTGGATTGTTTGACAATTTACAATTTTTGAGACAGGCCCTTAATCTGCTAAAACTTTACCATAAATTAATATATACTTTTGATTTAAATTTATTGTATTTTATTATGCATAACTAAAGACTAGCTTCTATTGCACTATTTAATATTTAAAATGATTGAGTTTAAATTTCCTAAATACTTATGCTATACAAACTTAATCTTGCTTACACTAATGGCTACTGTTTGCCTTGAAGAGGCATTTACAGATACCGGGCTTGAGGTGGCCGAGCGCATGGCGCTTAGCCTGAACCTCGTTATGAGTAACTATGCTCGGCTCCCTCAGGAACAGCGGCACGAGCCGTTACTTCGTTATTATTACCGGATTGTGGTTGTTTAGCTATAATTAAAAGATGAATTGTTGATTTAGTATTAGAAAACATTAAGCGATTATTTGTAAACAACAATGATTTCAAAAATTTTACCAATCTAACCTTAAAATTTATCTATTTACACTATTATAATAAAGCGTCAACACACACTTCTTTGTTGCCTAAGATATCAGCAATTACAGCATATTTTTTTAAATAATTCTTTTTTAAAATAATAAGCCCTACACTTAGTCACGCTTTAGGCTATATATTTTCACGCTATTAAACTTAGGGGATAAATATTTTGGATGAAAACCGTAATGTGGGAAAGAGACCATAAGTTGCTGCCAACATCAAGGAAGCAAGATTGCCATGATTTGACGTTATGTCATGTCATTTTGACATTTGCTATTGATAATTTGACAAATGTGAACAATGAAATAAAATTTTCACAATTTCATGCGGATGACGTCGCACGAGAACAGCTAGTCAATAATAATCGACTTATAACCTTTGTTTGACAATAATTTAGCCGCCACAGGACAGTAAAGTAGTAACAGCAAAACCATCACTAGTATACCAGGTAGAAATGTGTAGAACAAAATAGACAAATAGAGTTCATCTGTTGTGTATTTGGTGACGTAGCTGTGGCTTCTTATGACGTCAGCGTAATACTTCGCGGAGGCGCGTGGCTTTCTTGTTCGGCTCTTACTACTGAAGTCCACTTGATATAAACCGAATTGTACACTGAAAACAAAAAAAGGGTTTGCTTAATTTTCTTGCTGGTTTCTTTCAGTAATCTATAACAGTGTCATATGTATAATTCTATTTATATTATTTTATTATTTTTTTTTATTATTATGTATTGTATTTTATAATTTGTTGTCAAAAACGGATTATTCCCAGCTCTGTCCCCACGTGATAAAAAGTTTCATCCGTCCCACCTTTCAGTCACCATCACTAATAAGGTGACAGTTGGAACCGCTATGACATAAAATAAGTTACAACCGTCCCCTCGTGACAAAAGGTGGGACGGATGAAACTTTTTATCCTCATCTGTCTCCACGTGGGACAGAGCGGTGTGTCGGTTGGGAACAATCCTTAAAAACAATATAGTTTTTCTCAAAAAACAATACACTAAAACGTAAAGAAATAATTCCTTGAATCAATTAAACATTCTTTGTAGCTGTTATGTCTATATTGTACTAATTTTACTTGGACGTCGGTGTCTTTCATACCCTTCTGTGGGAAACATAAAGACAATCGACCAAGGAAAGACAGGACCTGCTATAACCATCATCAGCTCAGTATACGTCCCCACTGAGTGGCTCGGAGCCCACCTTATATTAGGGTGACTAGGCCATAGTCAACCTGCACTGCGGGTTGACTTCACACATGTCTTTGAACGTCTTCGCCGATAAGTGCGTGCAACCGTGCAAGTGTTTGTGAGCTACTGTGCTCTATACTATTTGCATGCTACATGCTATAGTAATATTTTAGGTTATGATAATTACTTACGTATAACCATCGAGCCATTCAAAGTTATCTATCATAGACCAGGCCGTGTAAGCGGTTACGTTGACACCATCTTTGTATATCGCCAGCCATACCTATTTGAAAATAATATCGTTATTTTTTATTTAAATTAATAATTAATATGTTTAGTAATATTGCAGAAATAAATACTCATAGAAGACTGCGATTCTGTCAGCGTGGAATTAAAAAAAACAAATGTAAAAAGCCTATGTGTTTTCTAGACTAGGGTAAAATGCCCAAAAGCCGATAATGACGCAGTACTTTATAGTTTTAAATATTGTGCCTATAAGAAAAGTAGACAAGAAAATTGCATATTAATGACACTAAATTAACAATTATTGGTACATTTACCTTATCTAACTTTAAACAGTCGTGGTTTTTACATTGTAAAGTTCGTAAGATGCGGGTTTCTTACCACGATTGGATTGTTTTAACTCCCGGTATTTCGGCACAGTTGCATGCGCCATTATCACGGGGTGACTAAAGTGATGCGGTAGTGTGAAAAAAAGGCGCATGCAACTGTGCCGAAATATCGGGAACTAAAACAATCTAATCGTGGTAAGAAACCCGTGTCTTACGAACATTACACTTACGTTATCCTCTACATTTGTGCCTTTCGTCGAGATACGTTCAGTAGTTTTAGCAAACTCTAACAAACTTTCATCTAAACATTCGCATTTATAATATTAGTCAGATTTAAATTACCTGTTCCAAATGTTTCTTATAGTAATCTACCCGTTCATTGTCATTCAAACTGCTACTTTTCGTCGCTAATCCGTTTTCAGTGATAAACACTTCAATATCACCGTACGTTTCTTTTATAGATTTCAATAATTTACGAATACCTTCAGGATAAACCTGTAATAAAATATTAAACTTTTATACTACGAACGTGCAACGTGGAAGCCAACCATTTTCTGCCGCTGAAACACAAGTATAACTTGATCGCGTATTCGCCAGATAAAGACCAAAGCTAGGACTACATGGGAAACAGCGATCAGTAAATTGTTTTTTTTTAAGTAGTTTTTAGATATTTTACATTTTTCAATTATCTAAAGAGGTCAGCTGCCCCCTTGGCCTTCCCTGGAGATACTCCTTGACCGGGAGTATAAAAACCATCGCTTTATTGCGAAAAATATTGTATTAATTTCAATACATATTTAAATGTGATATAATAAAAGAGGCAATTGTAAACTCCTTAGCTTTAGGATTATTTTAATCTTGGTTAGGCAAATTGTTTGTCATCCCTTTGTTGAGTGGTAAGTAAGATAGAACAGCCGATGTTCTTGACTAGGTCAAAGAGGGGTGCAGTTACCCAATATAGTCCTATTCAAAGTGATTTAACATCATTACATCCATTATCATAATCTTCCTCCTTATGCTACTCCCATAGGGTTGGCGCAACATGTTTTTGTCCCCAAATAACTTTATCATCCGTCATCTCAGTCACTCCCTTGATCATGTAACCTTTCACGCAATCTATCTCTTTCTAGGTCTCCCTCTAACGTTCTCCTTATTAAATAATTAATGTACCCAAAACCAAGAGCAGGCGCCTTTCTTCCATGCTGTATCGTATTCCAAGATGGCGCCGAGTTCAACACAGCTCTCTCCTAACGGCCAGTCGTGGAATTTATCATCTACCGTCGCTTTTCGTACTCGACGAGAAGTATAGTAGTTCAGACCGAAGAAGTCGTAGGTGCCTGAAAACCAAGGTTGACTGATCTGTACTAATATTATGAAGAGGAAAAGTATTTTTGTATGTATTGAAATAACTCAAAAACTACTGGACCGATTTTAAAAATTCTTTCACCATTGAAAAGCTCCGTTATCTCTGAGTAATAAAGGATTTTCTTATTTTTTTTTACTTATGTCGAGAGCAACAGCTAATAAATCCAAATGATATTAAAGAAACTTTTTTTTGTAGGAAAGGATTAAATAAAATTTCCCTCAGTGTTGATAAAGATATTAACTGCATATTTACCTTTAATAAGATTGATTTCGTCTTTACTCATTGCTGGTAGTCTGGATCTAGGATATCCTTGTTTTTTACTATTTTCTGCTACTGTCTTCTCTATTTCTGGAGGCCATCCACCCTCTTTTGAGAAGACGGCGTGAATGCTTATGTGCTACAACATATATATTTAGCTTAGGCCTGCGAGTCCGGCGTGGAATTTAAGAAACAAAAGTAAGTAGCCTATGTGTTCTTCCAGACTATCCTCTACATGTCAAATTTCATCGAGATCCGTTCAACAGTTTAGGTTACAAAGTATAACAAGCATCCATCCAAACTTTCGCGTTTACAATATTAGTAAAAGGTAAGATGAATATCGTCTAACTAACTATGCGACTAAAACAAAACATTATATACTTTTTATTTTAGTACGAGCTGTTGCCCGCAACTTCGTCCGCGTGGTATTAGAAAACATACGAACTATATGAAATACAAAAAACTACGTATCCCTCGGGAACCGGACATATCTCGGGGATAAAGCTTATCCCATGTGTACTCCAGACTTTGTTTTATATCTGTTCCAAATTTCAATAAGATATGTTGAACCGTTGCAGAATGATCGAGTAAACATTAAAAAACTAAATTAATGAATCCCACGGGAACCGTAACTATTCTCGAGATAAAAAGTAGCCTATGTGTTCTTCCCGATTATGCTCTAAACCTGTGCCAAATTTCATGGAGATCTGTTCAGCCGTTTAGGCTACAAACGCTAACAAACATCCATCCATCCATCTAAACTTTCGCATTTATAATATTAGTAAGATTAAAAAAAACATACCATATACAGATTAACTAATTTCGTGATTTCTTTGTTTTCTTCTGAAGTTGGCTCAAACCAATAAAGATGATTTGTTATTCCAATTCTACCTGTTGACAAGTCATTATAAAATTATTTTGTTTTAATCCTAATGCGTGAATTTTAATGACAGAAGAAAGTATGGATGGATTGTGTGAAAGAGGATATGCTTAAGAAAGGAGTGGATTCAGATACGGCTGATAGAGATGTATGGAAGAGCACATACTGTGCCGACCCTCCGTAAGGGATAAAGGCAAGTGGATGATGATGCGTGAAAGAATTATACAAGAAATCTAAATTGTATTTGACAAATTCAAACTCACGACGACAATTATGTAAATCACAAAAAGAAAAAAAAATAAAAGAAATAACAATTGACAATTGAAAGTATAGTAACAATTAAGTAATTAATCTACATTGACTGACACCGACTTCAAAGTAATAATAATTGTACAATATAGACATAACAGTTACAATAAGGTAGGTTTACTATTTTCAA